AAGCCCCTCAAGACCTACGTTGACCCACACACCTACGAAGACCCCAACCAAGCCATGCTCAAGTTCACCACCGAGATCCCTCCATCCTCCATCACCCGCCAGAAGGTCATCGGCGCCGGTAGGTTCTCAGGTGGCTTCATTGCCCCAAAGACACTCCAAAATTGGACCGGGGGGGGTTAAATGTCTCCCCCCTCCATTCCTTCGAGCAGGTGAATTTGGGGAGGTCTACAAGGGCACCCTGAAGCGTGGTAAGAAGGAGGTGCCGGTGGCCATCAAGACCTTGAAGGTGGGCTACACGGAGAAGCAACGGGTGGACTTCTTGAGCGAAGCCACCATCATGGGCCAGTTCTGCCACCACAACATCATCCGCCTGGAAGGGGTCGTCTCCAAGTGTAAGTGTGTGCGTCCCCCACCCAATTTCCCTGCAAAACACCCCAAAAAACCCCACTGTGTAAAAATAGGGTGTTTTGAGCAACAACGGGTGGGGTTTGGGGGGCGTAGTTGGCTTTTGGGGGTATCTTTTTTGGTTTTGGAGTTGTTGGGTTTGGGGTTTTTAGGGGGTTTTTATTAGGGGGTTCGTCGAGGGGGGTTGGGTGTTTTGGGTGGGGTTTTGGGTGATTTGGGGGGAAATTGGGATATTTTTTGTTTTGGGGGGGGTTGGGGGGCTTTTTTGACCCACTTTGGGTCTTTTTTTTGTACAGACAAGCCCTTCATGATCATCACGGAGTACATGGAGAACGGCGCGCTGGATAAATTCCTGCGGGTAGGTGAAGCGTGGTGGCAACGTCCCACCCCCGGGCAAGGATTACTGGGGTGATGGAACCACCAAAACACACCACGGGAGGTGGGACGAGAGATGGATTCGAAGTCGGATTCTCCCCTTTTTCCCAGGAAAAAGAAGGGGAATTTGGCGCCATCCAGCTGGTGGGGATGTTGAGGGGCATCGCCGCCGGCATGAAGTACTTGGCCAACATGAATTACGTCCACCGGGATCTGGCCGCCCGGAACATCTTGGTGAACAGCAACCTGGTGTGCAAAGTGTCCGATTTTGGGCTTTCGAGGGTGTTGGAAGATGACCCTGAAGCCACCTACACCACCAGCGTAAGTGCCACCAAGGTGGTATGGTTGGCCACAGTGGGGGGGGGGGTCTTTTTTGGGGGGCG